AACTCTATAAAAATACATAAAGCAAAGTAATCTTTAAAAAAATATTGTTTCATTTCGTGTTATTTTAATTTATTTTACAATTATCTGTATGATTATAAAATTGTTTGCAAGAGGCTGTGGTTCAATTGTGGGTAGGTGGGGGAGGGGGGAGGGAGATTTATTCTTCCAAAGTCTTTTTTTTTAAATAACCATAATTAAATTCCTATAAGCACTTGACTTTAAACAATTTTAAAATAAGAAAATAAAAATTTATTAATTGAGATTTATTTTTATTTTACTAGTTTAAAATTACGATACCTCAACAATATTATATACAATTATATATGAAAATAAAATTATACGGCTCATAGTTAAAACAATTTTGGAAACGATTATTATACTATCATTTACCTCATTTAATTTATAATAACAAATTAATATAATACTATGATATACGAAATTTAATGGTCAAGGGAGGTGATAGCCCCCATTAAGATGATAATATAAATTTATATAGCACGCCACAACCAATTCCAAATTACGCCACTGGCAAGAGGCAATCACTCCCCACCACCATAAATGTTTTTTCGTAGGATAACTTTTAAGAGAGAGAGATAAAAACCCAGTGTTCAAGAATAGCTGTTGATGGATGGCTGTGTGTGCCTTGGTATAGGTGGATAGGTTGTAGGGTGGGTATCGAAAAATGTACATACCTCTGATAATATTTGAGTTTGCCACGCCACTGTGTAGAATGGCATAATGTTAATACAATTGTTTGATTTAATGTACGTACATACGTTGTACTGTAGATTTTATCTACATTGTAGTACATAAATACAATATGTGGATGTATTAACAATGATAATGTAGGTATTGATAAATAGTTATAATTTTAAATTTTAAGATGCAATAACAATAATAATAATAAATATGTGTATTATAAGTAATATTATTATTGTTATTACTTTATTATGAGAGACGAGAGTTTGAATGCGATATCGTCAGAGAGAGCCGAACATTTTTTGTCCCCTGGTAAGCGTGAGGCTTACGGTGACCACGGACACGAGGAACATGATCAGGCCTACGCACGCCGTGACGAAGCGACACCAACACCTTTGCTTCTTCCCCACTTTGATCTTCTGCATCAGCTTTTCGGCTTGCTGCGTGTCCAACGTAAATTGCAATCCACGTAACATGGCGCCGCAATCCTATAAAATGAGACAAAACAAACGAACGGTAATGGTAAAAATGGTATTATATAGTATTTAGTATTTATAGGTACCTAAATAATTTAAGTATTCCAATAAACACCGAACTTTTGCAAAGTCAAAATGTCGATTAGATATTTTATAGATAGATGGATCGATTAGCATCAGAATGTTATAAATTTTAAAACCATATAAAAATTACAAATCGTATAGGAAATTAGAGATGCCATGAACTCTATACATCTAGCACATTGCACATGCAGTAACTCCCCACATTAGTAATGAAACTCATCAGCCAATGCGGTTGTACAATTATTTTTTGGATAGGAAGATTAAGTTGTTTTTATGAAATTCTATTAATATCTTTCATATTTTTACGTCAAGTACCTCTCTGACAATTCTTTTTTTTTTAAGTGAGAGGTTAAATAATTTTTAAAGGACTACACAACTGAAAAAAAATTTTTTTTTTTATATTTTTGTGAAATATAACTAAATAATAAAAGATTATTGGCACCACTAAAAATTGTTAGCGTCCAATATTTAGCCAGTTACGGGTATTTGAAAAATACGCGTGACGTCATAATTTCGCCGCCGCCGTTTACTCTGTACACGGTTTTAAGGGAATATTACAAGTCTCGCTGTTTAAACGCGTATAACTCGGCTAATAATAAATTTATTGATTTAGACCCTTATAATAATTTGAAGCTTTAGAACTAAATTTTTAATTTAATATTATTTTCTTGTAAAATTATTAAACGGTTTATTTATACGGAAGAAGAACATTTACGGCACGTGTCAAATAATTCAGATAAACACTCCCAAAATATAATAAAGCATGAATTATTACTAATTTTATTTGAATTATCTGTAAGTTGTTGTGATTGGTCATTATTATCACTTTCAGAAAATTCCTCAAACTCTTCATCTTCTTCTGACAAATCATCTTCCGATGGAAGATCAAACGATAATTCATTTACGTTGTCACGACGTAAATAGTCATTTTCGATGTCACATTGTATACCAACATCATTTGTACCAAATTTGATTTTTTTTGATTTTATTGTACTTGTAGAAGCACTATCAAAACTGCCGTCTACAGATTCACTTTCTGATATATATGTTTCGATGTTATTGCATGAATTGTTATTTTTTTTCGGTGTACTTGTTTTGGCAGTTACTGAATTTACCATATTTTGCAATTTTGTTCTAGAAGAACGTTGCGAACGGTTTAACGTTTGATTAGAATCCTGTTGTGAAAAAATAGTAGGGAAAACACCAGCATTTAAATGAACAAGGACCTTAGAATTCGGCATAAGTTTTTGACGAAGTAAATCAGATTGATTTAAATCATTTTTGTTAAAATGTTTTGAACATATTACAGCTGATTTTCCTGGAACGAAATTTTTTCTTTTACAGAATTCACTCCATTTTTTAAATCGTTTAGGAGATTTTTGTCTTTTAGGAAATGTAAAAAAATGTATTTTTTCTGGGCCTGTTTTAACACCTTCTTCACTATGATTAGAACAACCATAAACGGAACACAACATTTTAATAGGTGCAATCTTTTATTTTATTGTATAAATATAAACTATACTGCGCATACGAAAACTAAACATACGATTACACGAAACACGATGAGTACGCACTCGCGACGTACGACTGAGGCCTAGACGACGAGTAGACGACTAGACAGTATTATTTATATTAATTATTACAGTTTTTATTTTGATACACCACTGGGCAAATATTGTTATTTATATTACGATAAACACAACATTATACTAAGTTAAACAATACTGTAAATATTATCTACAAACATGTATAAATAATTAATATAGTTACATTTACACAATAATAATACGGTGCACAACAGTCCTAAAATAGTCTACAGTCGTATAAATAAATGTTTGTTTAATTTTTAATTGAATCATATGATGAACTTATTATTGTAAAAAACATGCAATAAAAGAAAAATTTGTGAACTTTAAATTATTATAAAGGTCTACATCAATAAATTGAGTATTAGCCGACTTATAAGAGATTAAACAGCGAAAGTTGTATTACTCCCGTAAAATCGTATACAGAGTAATCGGCGGCGGCGAAATTATGACGTCACACGTATTTTTCAAATGACTGCCGCAGGCTAAATAATAGTTGTAAATATATTTTAATGGTATCTCTGTTTTTATTTCACTTAATACTATATTTTAAAATAGACTTATTTTTTTGAGTGTTATGGTCCTTTAAGATACTAGTGCCATACAGTTTTTAAATATTAAGTTATAGATACTTAAAAGTTTGACACTCAACTTAAAAATTTGTTTTAACTGTTAAAAACTGAGAGGACTTTAATTTACACATTGAAATGATGATGCCTCCTGGAAAACTCTTGCCCACCCACAAGTAATCGTATGGGAATATAATATACGTAATATAATCGATAGAAATGTCTAAAATAATTTTTATTGTAGACATTTTTCTTTGTCTGACAAAAATGGAATTGTTGAGTCATCAACCACTTCCCATATATTATACGGTTGTCCGCAAGTTTTTATTGTATTATTAATATGGTTATACTTATAACACATATGACATGTGATATTAGCGCGTTTCAGTGTAGGTCTTAAGATCAAATATTTTTTACAGTTCCCTAACTTCTAAACAACTGCAATTGTATGTGGTACGTTAACCCCAGCTGTCATTCATGTATAGGCACTAGGCAGTAGGGTATTAATTATTTGTTAAAACGGGAACAATTATTATGAAATGATTCATTACATCTTACATGTTTATAAAAAAAATCTCCCAAACGATCATCAAATTGCTCGACAGCATTCCACCTTTCAAGCAATCTCGGCTCTCGAAATAAAATAATGGTTCGACAGTCTCAAGCACGTGTAATAATACATTTAAATAAAGCTATAATATTGTATGTTATAATTATGTATGTCGATGATCCACGCCGTTCACTCCAAGAATCAAGACGTGTTTAGAATGTTTAGATTAATCAAAAAGCGATAATAGGATACCTATCACCTATGTATAAACAGAACTGGTATATTATATCATCACCGAAACCACGTTGAATGCACAATGCATCGAGTCAAGATACGTGTGATATTGATTATTGACCAACAACAGCATCGTATGAATTATTTTGCAAAAGCCAAATAGGTTATTTGTACTATATTGTCTATACATATTATAATAGTTAGGTAGACATAAAATAACGACTTAAAATTATGCTAGTACAAGTAGTACATTAAATGTAGTACATGTCATGATACTTTAGGTTTTATGGCCGTGGCCTTACAACTGCGTACCGTGTATTAGCTCGAGGATCTAGTTACGAGACGCCGAGGTTTGGAATAGCATCCTCCCGGATCGTCATAAGGACCACTAGCACCGGACCCGAAGGTCTGCATCTTACTGATTTGGGTCAGCTGAGCTTACGCCTTAGGGTCCATCCTCTCACCAAGGTAGGGTGGTTTTGTTACTATCTAGCGCTGGTCCCACAACCACCGCGTTTCAGACGAGGTAGGTTTCTCAACCTTGAGGGGCACCGAGTGCAGAACGGCATGCCGGTCTGGCGTACGATAGGGCTCCCTCTCCCGCGGTACCGACGAGGTTTAAAGTTGACGTCGGTGGGTCGACGTCGAGAAATGTTATAATTAAAATAGGTTAAAATTAAAAGTGATGGAATAAACAAAATAAATAAATATTATAAATATTGACCATATGTAGGTATAACATTTTTTTGTTATTCGTCAATAATTTGTTCATAAATAACGGTTGTGATCACCCATATTATGCAAATTAACCATAATCTACAACTTATAAGTAAAGTAATTTTAACCATATTATTGGGAAAAGTTATGTTATATTTATTATTTACTTTATCTACTTATAATATCTACCGGCTACCGGTTACCACAATAACAACGCGACATTATAATTATTAAATTATATAGAAATAAAATTAAGATATTAATCGATTATAAATTTTTATTTTTGTATTACCATCATTTGTTTTTTGTCAACAATCTTTTTAGAAATATTTAGCCATGTAGGTTTAAGTATTATACTGCTATACCTACCTGCATACATAATATGTATATATTATATAACAGTGATAAAAATAAAAATAAAAATTATTTTGATAATTTAAAAATGTTATTATTCAAATAAAAAATTATACTAGTACAAAATATGTATATGTATCATATAATGGTAATGAGATTATAATTTATAAATCTTCTAGTTAATAATAGCATTAATTATACTGTTATATTAAATTAATTTTTTTAATAATTTACTAATCACGCGTTTTATTGATTTTTACTAAATAATTTTAAATACTGCAGCTTGTTCTGACGTTTTTTATTCGAATAATAAAGTTTAGACATTATCCGAATAATACAATTTAGAAATTATCTAAATAATTTTTTATTCGAACAATACTGTTTTTGAACATTATTCGAATAAATGTGAAAAAATCATTCGAATAAAATGTTATCTTAATAAAATTTCATTCAAATATCGCCCTGCTCTGCCAGTATCCATAAGACAACATTTTACTTTTTACTTTTCATGAGCATTTTTGAGTTTTTTACTTTTAATGTTACAAATTCACACAATTGATTCTTTCGTTAATTAGAATACAAAATATTTAAAATACATTTCATGAATCAATGTGATTAAGATTTGTAAAGTTGCAGAATCTACATTTAAAAGCAATATGGGAAAAATATCGAAACAAGGAAATATAATTCAATTCTTAATAATAAAATCTTCAGTTCATTCCAAAATCAATTTATTGTTCACTGCCATTTCAAACCACATTTTAAATTAATCACCATTAAGCAACCATTTACTACAGTCTACAGATTGTAAATTTAATTTTGAAAATAGATTTTACAATAAAATTATATCACTTTAATAAAACCAATGGTCAACCACAAATTATAGAATTAATTCATTTTTAACAAAACAAATTCATT